TTTTCCTGGTCGCTCCTTGCTTCAGAATCAAAAAGAAAATTTTCCTAACCATTTCTTATATTCCGGAAAAATCGATTTTCTTCAAACATAAGCAAGTATCGGGCTGTTCGTGGTTTCTAATCGATCCCACTTCAACAGCATTATATTCTCACAAGGGAAGTATCAGAACTGTTCCTCACCGATTTTGTTGAAATTTGGTACAGCAATAGTATGGCCAAAAATAAGGTTTACGTATTTTTTTATACGTGCTAATAAAGCCTCTGGGGCGAGTTATAAGGGTTGGAATTCGTGGCGAAATATATCATATTCGCTTATAGGCTGAAAACGAAAATAGCTATCGAAATGTGGTAAGCGTAAAGTGATATTCATTTTCAAAGAGCTTTCCATTGATATATCACACATATATCTGAGGGCTTCAGGGGGTAAACTACCCCTAGTTTTTTTGAATATTTTAAAAACTACCCTGTCGATTTTGGCGATATTGTGTACCCTTATAGTACGTTTAAAAATATTAATGACGTGTTTTTTCTTATTTGCCTCTGACCATCCCCTGCAAAGTTACGTTGTATGATAGATAACCCCTTTCCTTAAGAATAATGTGATAAACTGTTACACTTTAGAACAATATTTTGAAGAAAACCTTTAATTAGATGTAAATTAAGATTTACGCAGTAAAATAAACCCCATACGACATTAAGGGGTGGCTGGGGTTAACTACCCTAACCACCCCAGAAATTATTTTTTTTTGCGAAAATTGTTTGTCGATTTTGGTGCAATTTACCACGATGATTTTTTTATATGTTAGGTAGTACTATTGTAAAAACTTACAAGGGGTAGAAGTTTGGGGTAGAAAATATATTTTCGCTAATAACTTTCATATTCCTACAGAAAAAGCTTTTTTATCCTTATTCTATTTAAATAACACAAAAGTTAGAATAATTATATAAATATTTATTAATAATGAGTTAAAAGGCAACTGAAAAAAAATGGTTAAATATCACAAATTGTATTCTACACTGTTAGTTTAGTTTTTTTTTTTAATTTTTATTATTTAAAAGGGGTTTTAGGGGTTAAAACCGAAGATTTTCTGATCAAGTTATTCTCTACCAGTACGATGTCAATTTGCATCAGCGAGATAATATTTTAAAATTGCAATCCTTAACGCATAACCAGTTGTCTTCCCCAAGAGTTATTAATGTTTTTAAATACGCCTGGTTTGCATTTGGATATACAGGTGTCTCAGCGAGACCGGTCATTAGTATGTATTAAAAAAATACAACTTTGTGTTGTATCTCAAAAATCATCAAATATTTTTAAAATTTTTCAACGGCAGTATATTCTACTTAAAACAGTGTCTTAAGAACGTATCAACCCCATTTCTCTAATTTCAAAAATAAACGAAATATGAGCATTTTTTGAAATCATGAAAATTTGACTTTTTGGCTATAACTTAAAAACAAAAGAAGGTAGTGGTTTGGTATTTGCGGGATTGGGTTAGTCTCGAAAAAAGAGACCGGGACAAGGCACCGCACCTACTTTTTTCGTATCTCTTATAGTTTCTGAGATAGCCTATAATAACACCCAAATTTGCCCACCCTGTACACTCGTTAACGAAATGCCTGAATTTTTTGACAATTGACGGCAACTTACATGAGGATTAACATCTACAGCTGCTAAAACAGCTATTTGATTCTGTTCATTCGTAACCGATCTTGCACGCGCTCTTTCTCCAGGAAATTTTCGAACATAAATGCGATGGGTCTTAGCGAAATTTTCACGACTTTCACCGTAAGCTAACACCATCTGAATTTTCTGTGGAGTAGAGAAGTGCTCCATTTTTGGTTTGATCACAATGATTTTTTTGCTTGAAATTTTTATCCCACGTGGAATTAAGCGCACATCCAAACAAGGTTTATAACAGGATTTACTCAATTTATAAACATTTTTTTAATCAATTTTCTAAGACGATTTCAAAAGTTAAGAAGAATTTTAATATTATTTTACGATTAATTAAACCGTTTTTTTTTATTAATTAGTTTTTTTTAATTGAATATTATAAATTGTATTTGTTTTTTTTGTTTTGTTGTATCATGTGTTGGCACAATAAATAATTATTATTACTACTTACCATCTGAGAGTCACCTCTATATTCAACATCCTTCGATGAAAATCTAAAGGTTTTTGATGCCCCATTTCCATACCAGAAAGTTATTCATCAAGTCGTTATTCAATATCTTTGATGAAATTATATATTTCTTTCTACGGAGGATTAGAGATTACGTCACAGACGTTTGATACAACATCAAGAGGAAAGTTTGCAACGACAAGGGAATTGAGATTTAATCTGGGTGAACCAGATTTCGGGTTCCAGAAAGCAGGAAGTTTGATTGATGACAGAACCTGGTATGAAATCATTGGAACTGAAATCCTAATGTTTCTAGTTTTAGTTCGCGCATATTTGAGCTTATGATGCAAATGAGTTATATGGATTTAATATAAAAAGTAAATAATAAAATTTGGATAATAAATTTTAAATTTAAAAGCGCCATCTTTTGCCAATCGTTTCTATTTGCAATTGCGAACTTACAGTCCGCGACATATGACTGTGTAAGCGCGTGTACTGGAACATTAATCTTTAAAATCATTTTTATATCTTTATATAAATTTATTTTTAATGAAAGGTATCAATTAAGTTTAAATTAATAAAAAAATTATGTTATAATAAACTTTTTTTTCGCTGCTAACTTCAGGTTACATTTGACGTTTCGTGAGTGACAACCACTCAGCATAATTATTTGTTGTATGGTTTTATGTAAGTAAAATAAACATAACGCATGTTTAGGCTTTAATTCGGATGTTATAATGTTGTTTTCAGAATATTAACGGCCATAATGAGTGAAATCGAAGTTGAAAAAACCGAGAGGGTTTACGGGGGTTGCGAGGGTCCGGATGCCATGTACGTAAAGCTGATTTCGTCAGATGGACACGAGTTTATTGTAAAGAGGGAACACGCGCTTACTTCGGGCACTATTAAGGCTATGCTGAGTGGACCTGGACAATTTGCTGAAAATGAAGCTAATGAAGTAAACTTTAGGGAAATTCCGTAAGTATTTCAAAATAATGAGTATTTTGAAGCTATTTGTTGTTTGTTATTTTAGATCTCACGTATTACAAAAAGTCTGTATGTATTTTACATACAAAGTTAGATATACTAACAGTTCGACTGAAATTCCGGAATTTCCAATTGCCCCGGAAATCGCTTTGGAACTACTGATGGCAGCTAATTTCCTAGATTGTTAATTTATTTACATGGCATATTTTGAAAGGTGATTCGTATACCAATTTCAAAAAAAAAAAAAATACTAACAACTAGCACTAAGTCCCTTTGTGCTCTTAAATAATCATTCAGTCATATTTAACTTAAGATTATTTATTAGACACGCTTATGATAACAAATACTATAATAACAGAATAGGTGAAAAATATTTCGAGTCTCATTTCCACATTATTTTTTTAAAGAATATTTAAATATTGATTTTATGAATAGAACTTTGTATGAGTATACTTTGTGTGTATATATAGGGTCATATCATTTTTTTTTCATATTTTTTGCGTTAAAAAGGGTAAACAAAAATTGTAGGCAAGTTTAACTGAATAAAATACTACTAGAATATTAATTTGATGTTTTTTTGTGCCTTAATTGTAATCAAATAAATTAATAAAATTTGAGTGATCTGTTTATGTGGTTTTGCAATAATTTAAGTTCACTCATACGGATAAGATAACATTTATAATATAATACTTGATATTTTTAATCAATTAATAATGAAATTTTGGCATTATACAGGCTGTTTCTAAATTGATGGGAAAGATATCAATGAGTGATTTTTCAGCAAAAATTAAGGGGGCCTTTCATATAACTTTTTGTTCAAAACCCTTTCCCCCGCCTAGTTACAGCACACTAAAGTTAGGGGAAGAATTGTTTTTATTTAATAAATCCAGTATGGAGGAATTTAAAAGAATGAAATTTGGCAGATTGTTGCTAATAAGATGACACTTTTGACGATTTTTATTTATTTATTTCATGTGGGTACAGAAACAGGTCGAACCCAATAATACTGTACCACAAACAACCAATTGTATACAAATAAAATAGAATTACAGTTCACAATAATAATAATAATGAATTAACATTAATGGTACAAAAGTAAAACTAAGTTTAGGTCAAGGACAGTAGAATCTAACAGGACTGCTACATCCATTGTTGTGACAACCTGCCCGCAAACTACGTCACACCATTTTCCACGCCCAGCTGTTGCTATGGTCTATGCGTTTGCTGTGTATTTTTAGAGGTTATATTCTAGACGTATTCATATTATTTTTGAAGTTTTATGTTTTTAGACGTATTAATGTCTATCATATAACCTCTAAAAACGCAGACAGTTACCAGGCGTGGCAAATAGTGTGACGTAGAGTGCGGGCAACCAATCCCTAGTGGACTACAAAAATACAATGGATGTAGCAGTCCTCTTAGATTCTACTGTCCTTGAGTTTAGGTGATATAAATATATCATATATCAAATGAACGGTCGAGGCAATTAACACACCAACTGCAGCAAAGAGCAGTTTTTTAAATGCATAGAAAGTATGCTGAAACAGATCTATGTTAACACGATTTGCCAATCTTGCCATTCTCAATAAACGAGAGTTTTGACAGGCATTGGTTCTAGGAGTAGGTGTCATAAATAGAAAATCAAAGCGAAGTAATCTCGGAGGAACGTGAACACATATAGAACCAACAAGCATTGGAGAATCACACTTGTTGTTCAAAAGTTTGTAAAAATATAATATATCCCCACAAAAGCGACGCTGGTTGAGGGTTAACATACGAAAAGAAGTGCAAGTTGATTCGTAATCAATGTATTGAATGGAAAATTTAAAACAAAGGTATTTGAGGAATTTAGATTGAATACGCTCAATTCTAGATTTATACGAGAGATACTGAGGATTCCAAACGACGCTGCAGAAGTTAAGTGTGCTGTAAACATAGGCAAAATAGAGATTTCTAATTGCAGCAATGTTTGAAAAAGCTACCGTTGATCTCATAATAAATCCTAACATACGCCAGGCTTTGGAGACAACAGTATCGATATGTTTATCAAATAATAATTTATAATCAAATGTAACACCCAAATCTCTAATAAATGAGACACGTTGCAACCTCTCACCAGCGACGCTATAATTGTAGTGGATTGTGTTCACCCTCCTAGAGAAGGAAATAACATTACACTTTGATAAGTTTAATGAAAGGCGATTATTTAAGCAAAAAGCATGTAGATTGTTTAAGTCAGATTGCAGTTTAGAACAATCAAGAGGTGAGGAGATACGGAGAAAGAGTTTTAAATCGTCAGCATACATTAAACATTGGGCATAATTAACGACGTCAAATATGTCGTTAACATAAATATTAAACAGTAAAGGGCCCAGATGGCTACCCTGTGGAACACCAGAAGGAACCGACACAGGATTAGAGAAAAAACCATTAACCGAAACAATCTGGCATCTCTCCTTCAGATAGGAAGCAAGCCATTGCAAAAGATTTCCCTGAACACCAAACTTCTTTAGTTTGAACAGAAGTAAGTTGTGATCCACCCGGTCGAAAGCTTTACTAAAATCCGTATAAACTGAATCAACCTGACAAGAATCATCCAGAGTAGATAAGATATACTGGGTATATTCAAGCAAGTTACTCTCCACCGAGCGACCAGCAAAAAAACCATGTTGTCTAGAATTGATTTTAGACTTAAGGGCAAAGAATAGACGTGCATGAACTACTTTCTCAAACACTTTCCCAAATGCTGGCAAAATAGATATGGGGCGGTAATCGGATATAGCACCACGGTCCCCAGATTTAAAAATGGGAAGAACAAAAGCCCGCTTCCACAATAAAGGAAAGACACCCATTATCAATGAAGCATTAAATAAAATAGTTAAAGGAAGGGACAGAGAGTGTGAACATTCCTTGATTAAAATTGATGGAATACCATCAGTACCTATACTGTCTGTAACCCTGATGCCCATCAGGGCCTCCTCAACCTCAATTCTGTCAAACTGCATCTGACTCAAAGGAAGGGTATCCATTTCTATACAATCTACATTCTGCTGGATTGGAGCAGGATCCACAAAAACCGAAGAAAAGAAATCAGCAAACAATGAGCATACTCCGACACCATCGCCGACAACAGTTCCATTCCATGACATCGTAGAAGGAATGACATCCGCACGCTTCTTAGACTTAGTAAAAGCCCAAAACACCTTTGGATCAGATTGCATATTACTTTCAGCTCTTCTAACATACTCCATGTAATTGTGATGGATTAGATACTTTGCACGACTCCTTAGAATTGAAAAAGTGAGGTAGTCAAGTCGGTTTCTAAAACGCTTCCATCTACAGTGCGCCCTCCTTTTCTCTCGAATTACTTTAATGGTACTGTATGAAAACCAACTGGGAAAACCCTTGATAGCTTTGCGTTTTAAAGGGACAAATTCGCGAATAGCAGTATTAACATAGTTATAAAAAATTTGAACAGCGTCATTGATATCACGACCAGCGAGCTCTGATTCCCAGTCAATTCCATTAAAGTACTCATTCAATTCAGGAAACCGGGCTTTTCTAAAACAAAAAGCATCACCATGATGTATAGATAATGAACGAGTAAATGAAATTGAGCAGGAAAACTTTAGAGTGGAGTGCGCACTGTCCTCAGGAAGCAATGGATCACTACAAAGAGATAATTGATGTACATCGGCAGAATTCGTAATAACAAGATCAAGTGTGTTTACATAAGAATTTTTATGATAATTTAGTTGGTTAAGTCCGCAAAGGGAAAGAACATCCAGAAATTCACTGGAGCGGGCGCTGACGGATCCGGAAGCAGTGGCGAAACCGGAATCCAGGTCAAGTGACCAGTTTAATTCAGGCAAATTAAAGTCTCCACAAATTATAAAACGATCATTAGGTTTACTTTCGATAATTAAGGTTAATTGATTTAAAAAATTATTTAGGGAAGTAATATCGTGAGGGGGAATATAAACGCAACAAATATGAATCGTCGTGCATCCCGAGCGCAACGTTACACCGACAGCGTCAACACCAGTGAACCAGGCGGACTGAAGAATTGCAGGAAGATACGCTGCAACTCCAATAAGAACACCCCCACCGCGCAAACTGTTGTCGGCGACGTTCGGGCGATCGCATCTAAAAACATTAAAGGAGGAAGGAAACCCTTCAGAGGAATAAATACCGGGATGTAGCCACGTTTCAGTGAGGCACACGACATCAAAATCCGCATTCAAGAGGTTATTATGCAAAGATTGCAGTTTGGTGCGAAAACTCCGAACGTTCTGATAATAAAAAGATAAAGCCATTGTACAAATAATATCACCGAGAAAAAAATATACAGTAAAAAGCAGAAAAATTAATGTTTATCAACATCGGTGACTCTCCTAATTACTTAGTATAGGACGCGCAGTTTCATTCTTACGGACGTAAACTCTACAATCACGCGTCCATACAAACTTGTAGCCCTTCTCTCTGGCAGCCTTCCTTACGTTACTTAACAAAAACTTATTCGCAGGCGTCAGATGTTCGTTGATGAAACAGCATTCAGAGACACCATCAATAGACAGGCCAGGTGGCGAACCCGGAGGACCAGAACGCTTCTTTAGCTTTGCAGCAGCCAGAAAGTTATCTCTGGTGAGACGACTACAAAACCTGACCACAATACCCTTAGGATTCGTTCCACGATTTTGATTTTGATTTCCAGGACCGTGCGGGACACGATGAGCTGCGTCCACATCCGTTGAAGACACAGGAACCCCAATAAAATCACCCATGGTTTTCAACACCATCAAAAGGTCTTCATTATCTTTTTCCGGAACGCCTTGTAGTTCTAAGTTATTTCTTCGGGAGTATTGTTCCAGGTCACCAACACGACCAGACAAATCATCTACTTGTTTGCGCAGCGACATATTTTCGGCATTCAGCTTATCTATAATCTTTAATTGATCCTGAAAGCGTTTCACAGTCGCCTCAAAATCTGTTACCCGCTGACTACAAAATTGTACCGACTCAACCAATTCATGAAGTCGTGAAGTCATTCTCTGCATTTCTGTTCGCATTTCTCCAATCATCTCGCAAACAGTTTCAAGGGTGACAGAAGAAAAATGATCGGCAGGAGTACCAGGAGGGGCACCAAAGGAATGAGATAGGCGTCGCGACGCCACTGGCGGCGGCGATCTGCAAGTGGAACACCTCCATGATGCGCCAGCGACCGATAAGGCAACCGCAGACTCGCTGGCGATATCCACGCATTTGGCATGAAATCACGCCTGGCAAGCGTCACACTGAACTCCAGGGGTGTCTCTCCCCACCAGTTGACTACACCTTCCACAAAATTTCATAAATTTCATTTTATAACCCGAAAATGTTATTACAAGGGGCTGAAAAAATCAACCCAATGCGTCTACATTTTTCTCTTTAAAAACTTAATTTAAATAGACGGATTCAATACGCAACTTTTTTGTCTCTTGATATTTTCTCCTAAAATTGTTAGTTTGGTCACAAAATAAAATAATACACAGCCTCGACTGAATTAATTCAGAGATTGGTGATTATTAGTCAAAGAAATGAAGTTATGTCAAATTGATCTCAGCATTATTTTATTTTTTGTGATCAAACTAACAATTTGTTAGTTGTAAAATGTCAAGAGATAAGAAAATTGCAGATTTTTTCCCTTAACTTTAGAGGGCTATAACTTGGAGGAGAAGGGGTTTTGAAGGGTCTTTTACAGGAGATTAAAGATTTATTTTTTTTTTTATTTTTTTTTTATTTGGGATGCAAACGGGACAAGCCCAGCGAAGCTCCACTAAAAATATACAATATTATAAACTAAAAACAAGAATTTAGCAATAAGTAACAAAAAAAAAATATCAAACAGGTTAACAAAAAAAATAGCAACAGAAATAAAATTTAACAAAAAAGTGAAACTTAAGTAAAACTAATAATCAAAAATATTGAAAAAAAAAATTAATCAAAAACAGAATTAACGTCGCAAGTCAAACGGCGCACGATATGCACATGGGAGATCATTAAACAATTTCCTAAATGTAGACCGGGGAGTAGCAAACAAGTCTAATTCAGAACAAAAATTGTTATAAGAAAACATGAGACGAGGGACCACGGAGTTAGAAAACGCATTTGTATTGGTACAAGGCACGTAGAATACCGAATATAAATCACGGGATGGTCGAACAGGAATCCTAAACTGTAACTGAAATAGAATCGCGGAGCAGTCAACAGTGCCGTTACTCACTTTATAAAGCAGCATTAAATCGTTACTAATGCGCCTGGAAGAGAGTTGAGGGACTCCAAATATTAAGCATCGCTGTGCGTAATCATAGTATGGTAAGTAGAATTTTCGCGATAGGTACCGAAGAAAACGTTTTTGAACTT